AAAGGTTTCTTGCCTGGTACTGCTCTGAGAGTCATGTGCCTCTGCCGAGGCTGAGGTACATGTTGGATGGGTGTGGAGAGAGTTGGTGGTAAGCCTGGGATGTTCTGCCTACAGTTCTGTCAGTCACTGGGTTCCTTTTCTAGCCTTGATACTGTGTGAGCCTTGTATTTCCCAGAAAATTGTGTTGTGCAGAACAGCAGCTGCTCCCATGTATTTAGAGAGGTACTTGGTGGACTGTGAAAGATATCTAGTAGGGACAGCATTGCTGAAAATTAAGTTTAGATAGCTTAAGTGTATAAGCACATAAATTTCAGGGCTTTTAAAAGTGGAAGTTAGATGACTTTGTAGATGTTAAGAATCCAGTTTCTCAATAGTAATGTATTTTGCTTCTTACTTGGGTTTTAGCCAATGAGTTTCTGCAAGTTAGAAATATGTACCCGTTTCATATTTTCAATGATACTCTCAAAAAGAACTCATAGACACAGGGCAAAAGAGATGAACAGGCTCTTTTGGTTTGGCTTTGTGTACTGCACGGGCCATAGAGTATGACTGAGGCTTCTGATTGTGCAATGGTAACTATTTAAAGATCTCTTTAGAGTTCCTTGTATTCCTCCATAAGGTGTCTAGCTACATGCTGCCTAGAAATGCAGATGGGCATAATAATGGGTTAGTAAGTTCGATGTTTTTTAAACTAAAGTCTATGTTGATTATGAGCTGCCTGTTATTGGGCAGGGCTTCTGCATTTGACTGGAGAGCAGAGCCTGATGATGTGTGGAAGGTTTGGGTTCCTAGCACACTTTCTGTGCTCTGGTTCTTGCATGTTCAGAACTGTGAAAGGAGCTTAGAGAAAAATGAGGTGTCTAATAAAGTCTAATCTTTTCGTTTCTAATGCTATAGGAGAACATCTGTGGAAGAGAAGGGAGCATGTTTTAAAAGGAAAGAAGCAGAAGGAAATGGGTAAAAGGGCTGAATGTTAAGTATCAGGAGCAGAAGTGACTTGCAGCATTAAGCATTTGGATTGAATTGGAAATGAAATGTCAGAGTCTCATCTGTGACACTGATTGGGAAAATACACTTAGACCCTGAGCAGGCAAGTTTTCAGACCACTGTGTCTGTTAATTTCTTGTGTTCCTGACCCTTGTCCCCTGAAATATATCTGAGCAAGGACAGAAGAAAGTGAGGAAGGAGATTATGATGTTTTTTTCTTGCCATGTGGCTGTGAGGCTATTGAGGTATTTTTCCTTTATAAGAGATGGGATGAGCTCTGACAATCCCAGAAGCATTAATTTCCTGTTAGAACAATTACCCACTGCAGTCTTGTTAGCTTGGTCACTATTCCAGGAGTGGGGAAAAATATATAGGCTTAGAAATTCTGAAAAGACATTTCAGCAGAGGACCTATAAAAGAGGTTGCAGGCAACTCAAATTTCCTTTGACTTTCAGTTAACCCATGTGTTTTTTCAATTGGAGTTAAATGTTCTCCAAGACTTTGCAAGTAACATATGAAGTGTCTCTGTCTCTGGACATCTTCACCTATTACCATCTTTTTTGCCTGTTAAAATTGTCTTTTGGAGGCACTTTCTGGGAATATGAGTTAACAAAATGGACCTTTGCCTTTGTACTTCAGTGTCTTTACAGCCCATGAAGAAGGTGAGTTGGAGCTGTCCTGTAATGAAATGATGTGACTGGCAACAGGTATGGCTGGAATTAGCTGAAAAGCCTCCCTGTCTAGTTTTGTTTACAGTCCTTACTATGGGATCTATATTTTGATTTTTGGAGAGCCCTACCCTTCTGGAGAGTTGTTGAAACGGAAGTTTTAAATTTTTTTTTTGCTTGAGTTTAGTTTTTATCAAACCTGAAACTGTGGCATTTTGGAGCAGAAGGAAGCTGACTTTCTCAGCTTATTTAGCACCAGTTTGGCTACTGCTACACAGTGCCAGAGTGCTCTGAACAGCCTTGCAAACCTCAGTCAGTGGAAATGGGGTAAGCATGGAAGCACCCATGAAGTTCTTCACCACCTCTTGGTCAAAGTTGTCAGCTGTAACAACATGGCAAAAATTTAAAATAGTTT